TATATATATATATATATATATATATATATATATATATATATATATATATATATATATATATATATGGTGGTGCTTGTGTGTGTGTCTGTGTCACTCTCTCTGTGCTTGTGTGTTTGTATGTATGCATATATTATTTTATATGCCAGCAGAGCCCCACAGAAGAAGCACAAAATAATAAAAAGTATATATTATATTATACACCGGGCGCGGCCAAGAAGACACAGAAAAATGTATAGAGTATTGATACTGTCTCAATGAAGCAGCAGAAGAAAAAAAAAAAGAAAGAAACAGAAAGCGAATACAACATTCACAAACGAGAGTTTCTAACGAGCTCCATCGCTTGATATTCACTATGAAATTAGGGTTTAGGGTTTAGGGTTTAGGGTTTCTGGTGTGTGACGTCGCCTTTGTCTCACCTCTAAGAAAGAAGTTTCTTCTGAGTCTGTATCGGTGAGTGAATCTTCTTCTTCTTCTTCTGCTTCTGCATCTTCTTCTGCTGCAGTGCCGTGCAGCTCGTTTTCCTCTTCTGCTTCGAGTTTATCTGCGAGTGCATCTGCATCTAATTCAGAGAAACTGACTTCGTCGTCAGCATCAAGCTCAGCTGAGTTTGTATCCTCTTCTGTTTCTTCATTTATATTCAAATTTGTATCTGTTTCCTCCAGCTGCATACCCAGCACCGCGGCGTCGTTGTGCAGGAGCAGAGCGGCCGCCACCAGCACGCCAAGAAACAGCAACAAATTACGAACGGAAAGGGTCATTTTCGCTGCGATATGTGTTTAAAAAGTTAAATATACAAAAAATACTCACAAAGAAATGACAAACAACTTCAGTTTATACAGAAAATAAACTTGAATGAGCTGCCTATACACCCCAGCACGGCGCCTCACCACCGCCTGCCGACCAGACCGCGGTGCCGGCCCCCAGCCCGCCCGTTTTTCGCTGCAGTTTTCGCTTCTTCTCTCGGAATATGGAGTGTATTCATGAATAAGTTTCAGAAATTTTTAATAAAGTTTAAACTTATTTCTATTTATTTCACTTTTC